GGTGCGGGCTCCGGAGCCCCGGGAGGGCTCTGAGAAGCCAGGCCTGAGCTCCGCGCCCCGCACTCCTTAGCAGGCGTCGCGTCCCCCCTCCTCCGTCCGCGCTCCCGCCGGGGGCTCGGGCCAGCGGGCCGCAGAGGGCCGGAGGCTCACCTGGAGCCGCCGGGACCGGCCAAAGGTGGTCCCTTACCCCGCAGGCCCCCTCCTCCCACAAACAGCGCGTCTCCTTGGAGTCCCGACTCCCTCCCCTCCAGTGGCCAGCGACTGCCTGGCCTCAAAGCACCCCCAAAACCTGTTCACCCCCGTTCCGCCTTTGAACCCAGGAACAGAGAGGCCAGAAACCACTGGTTTCTACAAGAAAGGGACCTACAGGGGAGTGGCCTTGAGACTGAGCTCTGAAGCCAGCCGCGGGACCTGCTCCCCTCGCACAGAGCCCGGGGAATCGCCCTCAGCCCCCTGGACCGCTCAGAACCGGGACAGATCCAGACGGGGAATCTCTGGGTTCATTGCAGAGGTGCGGCGGCCCAGGGTCCCTGGCCCAGACGGTCACGGAGGGCAGCTCGCCTGGGCCCAAGGCTGCAGGATAATTGATGTGCTTGGTGTCTGGGGCGCCCCACGCCCCCACACTGTCCTGGGGTGGGTCCTCTTTCCTGCTTTTCCTGGGACTGGTCCGCGGCCTGCCCCGGACAGTGGCTCCAGAACGGGGACCAGTTGTCTCACCAGCTCCAGGAAATCGTGTGAATTGCTTTTACGGCAGTCCCAGGCCTGGTCTTCCCCACACAGGACAGGCAGAACCTGTCTGGTGCTGCTCTCTCTTGCCTGAGAGGTGTGCCTTGGAGAAAGTTGACTTTTACGGCTCATGGATCAATCTCATTTTGTAAAATGTGATCTTTCCAATGGCATTTTTAGGACTGTATTTTGGGGGCTTGTAAAACCCCTTGAATTAGCTTTAAGATCCTCAATTCTGTGGAGATTGAAAAAAGACTGTTTATATGATTTGGTCGAATTTCCGGTGGGTGATTATTAGCTCTGTAAAACTCTGGCAAATGCGGAGAGTGGGGTTCAGGACTTGTGGGGAGTGGCAATGCCCCCTAGGAATCTGGAAATGATTTTCTTAATCTCTTCCTTGCTTTTTTATTTTTTCCCACCTGCCCTCACTTCCCCTAAAGGGAAAAAATTGGAAAAGAACTGGGCTAAGGTTAGTTAGGTGCCCAGAGCCTAGTGTGAACCCTTGAAAGCTGCTGTTGCCCATCTCTGGGGGCTGTGCCCAGAAGCCTCCTGGTTGTGCCCCAATCAGTCCAACCTGGGAAAGTTTCTCCTTTGCATATATAAAAAAGGGCCTGGCAGGAGAGGCTAGAATTTTACATTTTCCTCGCAGTTCTTCAGGGAAAGGATTCAATAGATGAAAGTAAAAACTCAATAGTCAAAAAATTTAAAGGGAATTATTTTTTAAAGCTGTGTTTCAAGGAAATTATGTGTGAATTATTGTTTCTAAAACAAGACCATCAGATGACAGTGATTTCAAGCAAGTTTTTATGTAAGACAAAAAAACAAAAACAAAAAACAAAAACCCGTTTAGAGATGTTGATAAATGATTACATTTATAATTTCTGCTTCATTCTGCCAGGTCCCCCCTGCACGGTGTTGGGGCTGGTGGCAGTTTACGACTGTTGTTATTATTTGTTATGGTTTGACCTGGATTCTCAATCTAATAATGCTCCCAGCCAACAAGAGAATTTGATTTCTCAGCTAAGAACCAACAAAACATTGTATTTCTAGCTTCTATAGGCAGTAAGATGGACAAATATATTAAACTGAAATCTCTACATGTTAGCCAAGGCTGGTACATATCATGTTGGCAGCCGCCCAAATCTATTTCTCCAACCAGTGAATATATATTTAGAGAGAGAGAGAGCCAGAGAGAGAGACTGATTCAGGCGAGAATACAAGCCCCGGACGGCGGAGGGAGCCTTTACTGGGACGGTGAGAATGACCACCAGGGCTCTCTCTTCTCGGTCAAAGCCACACAGAAAGTCCACTTACCTTTCAGCTGCTCTTCAAGGGGGACGGGATGGCAGGCAGGGCCCCCCAATCCGCCCTTTCCCTGGGCTGCCCACTGAGCTCCTCGACCTTTGCCAGCCTGGAGGACGGCCTGCCGGTGTGGGGGGACCTTGAAGGCCACCTCCTCCGCCCTGGTCTCTAGCCCAGGCCAGAGCCCACAGCACACAGGTGCGGCCTGTGCCCGTCACGGGCTCTCGCCTGGAGCCAAAGGCCGCCTTCCTTGCCATAGCCAGTCCTTCCCAGGGTCAGCCAGGCCTGCAGGCCTCAGGACTACCAGTGGTCTCTGTGATTTCAAAATCCACAGACCGCCGCGTTCCCCGAACCAGCGTGCGCCCCCAGGGCGCCTTAGGACGCGCAGTTTGGACAGAAGCAGCCATGACGTGCCAGGCGGCCTGTGCAACCAGTCTCCATGGTGCTGGGGGGGAGGGGGGACCCGAGTCTAGTCGGGCGTCCAGCTCCTGTCAGGTGGCTAAGGCGGGGGAGGTTCCCGGCCAGTCAGGCCCTGGGAGACCGCCCCTCGGGTCCTCCCTCGCCCCCCTCTCCGCGGCCTGCTTGGGAATCTCCGAGGGGCCCGGGCAGTAGTCGCGCCGGGCTGCACCGCGCGGGGCTGCGGCTGGCGTCGGTCCCGGCGACGGCCACAGC